GAGTCAAGAGAAAATACTGCAGAGAGCACAAAACTATTGCCAAAGCACAAGGAGAAGGTCAGCCTACGTTTTTTTTTTTTTTGATTTGCCAAGAGAACTAAGCAGTCAGGGCAGGAGAGCCTGTGAGGCCTCTGGGATGTGAGGGTGGCACTCTCAAGACACAGAGCACCTGGCAATTATCTCCATAGCAGGCACTGTTAGAATTAAACTCAATATTTTCAGGAATGGGAGAAGAAGCAGAAGCAATTACCCTGTCAGGAAATGTGCCAATAGATAACTTGGAAATAACCTGCATATGTGAACACAAGGTGAGCTTATTTCCACCACCTCCCCACTTGTCCAAGACATGACTTCAGTGGTTCTTACCAGACTCCAGGTGACCTCGATGCTCTCCTGCTCTCATATCACATTACTGTCTGTCTCCCCAGCGGGGCTCTTTGGCAGACATCACATGCTAAGTTAGTGTCACTGAAGCCCCAGCTGATATTCTCTTCAAAACTCCTCTGTTACCCCTTTCTTGGTCTCTATGGTAACGCTCAGGATCCTGCAAACAGCACCAGCCGGCTCGGGGCTCGCTCTGCACTCATTCATCTCAAATGTTTGAAGAATCGCCTCTTTTCCCTGTACAATGTTTCTAAAAACAGAGTTTTACTCCCTGCTGATGTCCCCACATCTTTGACACAGTTCCACTGCTCCATGTCGCAAACCCATCATGGCTGCCCCAAATGAGGTCCCACTCCAGACTAGATAAAAGGGCCAAAATCAAAATCAAACACATTGTCTAAGTATCACTGGTGGCAGACTGAGGACCCTCTCTTGAAAGTCCTGGTTCTTGTGAACAGTTTTCCCTTTTAAAAGCTGTCCCTGCTTGGCAAATGCATTGAAGATCAGCTGTAGAGAGTCAAAAATAAAGACAGAAAGGCAAGGGCAAAACGGCAGGACTTTCCTTTGAGCTGCGCTTTTTCCAGGATACATCTTCCTTACCTGCTATTTTGTTTAGTTGGGCTGTGACTATATGTTATTACTCTTTACATTACACCCATTCTGTACTTAAGTTAATTCTGGCCTGAGAGAAACAAGAAGATTTCATTTAACTTGATTCTGTTCTTACAGGTTTTTTTTACTATATTCTTGAAATATAATTTCAGTACTGGCAACTTTAGATCAGATATTCTCAGAGTCTTTCTGAACATTTTTTTTTACTTGGGAATTATTTTTAGTAAGGAGGGAGATACATTTGCAGTATATCTTTTATTTCTGCAAGAACAATGAAGAACAAGCCAGGGGTTCACAACTGCAGTATAAAATAATTAGCACATGAAATAAAAAGTTTGAAGGAAAAAAGAAACTTCCTTAAAGGAATTATCTTCCATAATTTTTGCAAAAATTAGTTTAATAGTACTTCTGTTTATGTGTATGGGGGAAAAAACTACATATGCAACAATGGGAGATCTTAACTTCTCTCACTACATGGGAGAAAACAACAATTTCTTTCAGAAGGAAAGAGTAATTTTCCTTGAGACAGTATATAATTTTCCACACAGAAATGTGTTCATCCAAACCCAACCTACATGTCTCTGTACCTTATGCTCAAATTTTCTCTCACTGCATTCAACACATTAAGTGCCTAACTCCCACCTCCTGAATTCAGCAAAAACTACCATTTTTTCCTTTAAAAAACACCTTTTGAAATAGAATGTATTCTTTTTGTTATGGCCTACAACTCAGAGGCTAAAAATAGCCATTAGTTAACAACCTGCCTATTACCGTGTAAAGTGTTAACAATGTGTGAACCCCTGCTGTAAGGAAATTGCCCAAAGAAAAGGGCAGAGCAACTCCCCTGTCCGGAGAGCAAAAAGGTACCTAGGCTTTATCACTTATAAAGCCTTGCTCTTTTATCCTGCCATCTTGGCTAAGTTTGTTAGCCAGCAAATGAAAGGGTGGGCCACAGCATAGCCAAGGGTTTCACATCCCTGCACACACTCACGCATCTTGGTCAGCATCTAAATCCTGGGAGCTCTGTACCTCTTCCGGAGCCACCTCACCACCCTAGGGACAGGAGATGCTTCAGATTATGCACCACCACCACATTTAGCACCCTGAAGGCTGCACACCCCTTACACACTTGAGCTATGAAGTCAAAGTGTTTGCTAGTTATAGCATTAAAATAGGGGAGGGGATGTACTGAAACCTGCACTTTTCTAGAAGCACGAGGAAGAGATGATTCAAAATTGCTCAGAATAATTTTAAAGCCTGTTAGTTCAAGCTATGTTCCTAAAATAATATGATTCAAGTAATTCAAAGCAGTCACTGAGTTTAGCAATATAGTGGTATTAAAGGAAGTGCAGTTGACCCAAAGTAAAGATGGTAAACCAAAATCACACAAAACCCCCCCAGAGTTCCAAGAAGAAGACAAGCAAGAAAACAGAAGTTGGTTGTGCTTTTGACATTTGTCCATCATCCCTCTCTCACACTTATTGATTGATAGTGGGAGGAAAAGGCTGCCAATAATCTTTTATATCCTATCCTTTCATTATGTGTATCCCTGATTTCTGCTTTTACTAAATGCTCCATTTTTCTGCTATTGCCGCACTTCCTCCTATCTCTTCTCTTTGCCTAATCAGCTGACCCTTCTCATTTATCTCCCCTGTCCAGAATCTCGGTTCTTCCCATTTCTCTTCTCCTTCCAGCTCATCAGCCTTCTTACTGGTTTTCCTCCTGTACCACTTTTATGCTTTCTTCTTTCCTTTCCTTGTTTCTCATCCTTTTATAACTCCTTTTTTTAATATTCGATACTTATCTTTCCATCTGTGCGCCCTTTTTGTCTCTCAGGTGGTTGGATCTGAAGAGGAGTTTTGAGACATTTAAGTAGGAAATGAATGGCCACACACAGCACAAAGGAGATCTGCTAAAATCTGTTTTAAGGTATCTCCACAGATCCCATATAATTGTTCAAAATAATATTTTAGAAGTATTTTAAAAGAATTTTGTATGAAACATTTCATATAAATCTTTATGGGAACTGCAGAAAGTTCCATTTTTTCTCCTTAAAAAGCAGACATGAAATAAAAGTTATTACTGACATCTGTCATATTTTAAATTAGTTTATAAAATTTAGTGGTGGCAGCAACAGATGTAGCATAAAACACTGTGAAACAATCTCCCTAATAGAGCATCCTTTAAGAAAAGCAGCTTCATCATTGACAGTCATTTAGTAACACAGAAGGCAGCTTCCCAGAAGATATCTGCTGCTGTTATATTAGAGGTAATTAAACTATGAGGTGATTTATTTCTTTGCAGCCACGTAACTGAATTTTCTAAAGCCATTAATGATACCTTATGAAAGTATCAGCAGATGCAGAACATGATTATCCACAGCAAAACTGTGTTTACAACACATAGAGCCACAAAAATTCTATAGAATGCCATTTATTGGCAAAACATTAATATATTAAACCACAAAGGACAGTGCACTGAGGGTAGAAATGCTGTCACTAAATGTACATCTCTCCACCTCAGCTCTCTCTTCCCTATGATTGACAGTGATTTTCAGAGAGTAGGCTTTATCTCCAGGCAAGAAAATCTGTGTACATAAGAAATAATTTTACACTAGTTCTATTGCAGCACTATTGATTACTAAAGGAAGCTGTAGGCAAAAAATGTATATATTTAAAAATAATGTGTATTTAAGAGTAGAAAAAAACTCCTACATATAGAAATTTAAAGGAATATCAATGCCTCACATATTTTCCCTACCATATTACCTAATCCAGCAAAAAAATCCTTGATATGTCATTTTCTGATTGATGAGCACAGAGAGCTGAGACCTGAGCACAGAATTTTATTGCTGAAGACATTTTCATCTGCAGCCAAATCACCAGGGAAACACTTTGTCAAACAACTTCATTCTGCAGGGAGACTTTGTGACAATATTGGCAACTTAAGAATTTGTTCTGGTTTTTCCAATAGCATCTACCTGTCCATGTTGAGAAATATTTACAGCAGCACTGCAATTTATGCAGATGTCCAGCTTAAAACCCGGGAACAAGTGTTCCACATTTCATTGCAACAATATGTAAGAAGTAGATGTTCGAGTTCTATTTTTTAAAAAATATTTATCTCTATATAAGTGATCCAATATATTTTTTGGAAAAGTTTCACACCAAGCACCTGTACTTTCATAATAACTGATCTTATATGAAGCATCTGCAGGGCTACAAAATGATATATGTTTTCATATCAAAGAGCTCCAGTTCTTCTTTTACCCCTTTTTGTTTGTGGGTTTGGGGGTTTTTTGCAACTGAGGGGGCATTTTGAATCTAACAAAATGCTGCTTTTATGTCATCAAATTAGGCAAGATGCTAGGCTTCCAGTAGGGAAGATTATATGTTGATATATTCACATACTTGCTGTTCCTGAAAAAGGAAACTGAGTCTTGTGGATTGTCTTGAAGTTTCTAATTATTTTCTCTGTGGAACAACATTCCCAGGTTTCACAACTTTTTACTGAGTGACTTGCTGTGAAATTTCCTCAGCTGAGTAACAGTTATTCAGAGCTCTCAGTGGCTCAGCTGTGCTGTCCACAATGGGCTAAACCTGTTAAATCCAGAAACAGGTAGTCTCAGTCAGGGTTTATGTATAAAATTGTATGTACAATTCCTTTGTTCATAGATGAGCATAAAAACCAAAATGGATGGTCAAACCAGATGGTTAAGACTATCTGATGTGATGGAGTGGGGAAAGCAAAGAGCGTTACTGTTTCTCTGCAGTCAGGACATACTTTCATCTCAGCAGATAAACAGCAAGGAACTCCCATCTTCAATTCAAGTCAATGGTAAAACTTCAGACCCTTGCATTGAACAGGGTTGGTTTCTCCTTGGGATTCTAGGGTTAAACCCTCTAAGCCTAATTGATAATTCTGTATCTGAAAATGAGGGGTTAAGATGAATAATTACAATTTTTCTCAGAGACGTTTCCTTAGATACTGCAACGACATTTTACCTGAGCAATCTGCTTATGGCACTGTTCCACTGACCAATATAAAGGATGTGGGATCAAGGGCTTAATTCTTGCTGCCAGTCAGCTTGCAAATAAAAAGGCTTTCATCCAGCACTGAGCATCCATTTTCACCACGCCTATCACCACAGGATCCACTCAAATCCTCGCTGCTGCCCATCTTCCTGACACTGGCCTTTGGAAACACAGATAGAATTATGCTTTAAAAAAACTCACACCGTGTCACATGTGTACTAAGCAAAAATAACAGGCTGAAATATGCTCTGAGCAGGTTACCACCAACTTCATTACCTTTTTTTTAAGCTACAAAGACACTTTAATACTTATCTCTTATGAGACATATTTCTCTTTGTAATCTGCTCTTACCTGAAACTTTAGCTCAAGTGCCACCTCAGACAAATCACCCCCTTTGTTTCTACTTTGTGATCTTTGGCTTGTTGATCTGGTTCCTACACCTTACAGTTCAAATGGCATACAAAATAAATATAAACCAAACAACCACGTAGAAGTTCTTATACTCCAGAAAGCAGAGAGCACGAGGACAGGTTGACTGAAGACCTCACCTCACATCTAGAAGGGGAAGTGCTTTTCCCTTTCTACCAGAGCATATGAACACAGCTTGTTACAGGCACTGCTGCGTTAACATGACAGGTTTACAAGGCCCTGGCTTGCTCAGCAGTAATGATCCTTCAACATCCCTGTCAGATCAATGCACAGCTTTCCTCAGGACCCGCTTACTGGAACACTGGTCAGCAGGGAATGTAACTTTGCAAAACCATGTTCAAACCAGATGGCTCTACCAGGAGCTGCTGTAGGGAGAGACACGGGGCTGTTTGCAAAGTCCTCTGATTCAGGATGCTGGAGTAATGCATCCCTGACCCTTCGCTGACCACTCTGCAGCTCAGCTTTTACTCTTACCTACAATCATTGAGGATTTTCGCCTCATGATCTAGTTTTGTTTCAAGCCCTTTCCCACCACTGGGCTGTAATTTTTGGCAAAGTCGTACCCTATCTGGTCTTTGCCCCCCAAATAGGAGACAGAGGGAGGCAGTTAAGGTATTGTCCTGAACATACTTTGACAAACTGCAAATGTAAAGAAAACATGCGACATCTCATTACCATAAAAACATGCTGTTTTTTAATCTCTCCTAAACATAAGAGTAGCTACACATAGCTTGATCATGAAGATCTGTTCAAAAATAGAAATAAAACAAAACACCCAAGAAATGACAGCTCAGCAATTAGTGTTGGGCAATGAGTCATTTCTTATAGAGCCCCTACAGCAACTTCCTCCTCAGAGACAAGAAGGTATTTGAGTGGAGGGGGCAGGCGAGAAAGGTTTGATAAAGATCAGTTTATTTTTTTAAATGTCTCACTGTTACAATCTAACCTGGTGAAACTAAATTTCAATATTTTTTCTATTTAAGCCATTATGTTCTAATCTTCTTGCTCTATTCAAAAGTAATAGCTGTGAACAGCATTGCTATTAGTCCAAAGGGAATTCAGACAGTAATTATTCATAGTTACCTTAATCACAGATGCAAAATGTATAAATAAAAAATAATTTCTCATTTTGAAAGTATTATTTTTTTGACAGTCGAAAGTCTACCCCACAATTTGGAAGCTGTTTCTCAAGGATCTTAATTTTCCCTACTCAGAATTACTAACATGAAAATATATTCAAAATGTCGGACATCAGGTACTAACACTGCATGTGTCTGAGTCTCACATGTGGCTTCACTGAAGTGACACTGCCTATTTAAAACCTGCCTTCTCTGAGAGGAAAGACATTAATACCTAACCAAAGCATGCTAACATTGCTCCATCTTAGGAGGCTGGACACCAGCAGCTCAGAGATGTTAGAAGACTCGTACTACAGCCCTAACAGCAAGCTTTAGGGTACAAATATTAGTTTCACATAAAACAAGGCAGCATTACAGTAGCTCAAGAGGAATGTATGTTGTTCAATGCACGTAATTTCTTAATAGGAATTTATCCAACTGATCTGTTTTAGAAGAAAGCAAAAACAGAATGCTGGATGGCAAGAGCAGCCAACACCAGGAAGAACGGAACAAAGCTGGTGTGGTCTCCTTGCTGGGGTCCCATCACTGAGGGCAGTTACACAGTTAAGGTCATAATGGAGCAACTGCAGACACTGCATTTTCAATCTGCTTCAAAACTATTATTTAATTCCTGATATATTGCAGTCTCCATCTCAACACCAGAAATAGTATAAAATTAGGACTCAGTACTTATTCATGAGATCAAATTTAAGCAATTCTTCTTTTCAAGATTGCAGGCTTAATTCTCCTCTCATTTGCTCACACACAGAAAAGGAGTAACTCTGCCGAGGTCAATGTCAGTGCAAGAAAGGGATGAGTCATTCCTAAACTGCAGGTCTGTTAAAAAGGAAGAAGTGATTTCCCAGCCAAGGCAGCACAGACAACAGAAGCAGTGAAGAAGCAGAGCTATGAGTTTCAGCTGCACAAGACTGCTGAGCCTTATGTTGTTGTTTCTTTACTGTTATTTGTACTCATTAAAGCCAGCTCGAATACTTTCTGGCATGGTGGGTACCAGAATTTCCTCTTAAGAACAGACAAAAGCAAGGTAGTAAATCTGCTCAGTTTACATGCCATGGGACTGATCCTTGCTAGGTGTAAACTGGAACAGTATGATGGACCTCTTAGGTCAGTGGATAATTTCTATTTTACTTTCAGAAGTTAGGAGATTACAGTATGTATGTTTTATCCTTTTCTTACATTCCAGGGTAAAAGATCTTGCCTTTGACACAACTGTCAAGACTATACTCAAGAATTTAATGGGTGGACTGGCTGTGGTGATAAACAAACAAGTCCACAGATGACTCAGAAACGTTACCAACATAATCAAGTCAAATTGGGAACACACATAGTGCACAAAGGGACCAGCAGATTAGATTAAAAGCCACTGAAATGATTGCAAGGAGGTCTACATTTAATTATCAGGATACAAGATTCAGATGGACAGACAGAACAAAAAGAGACAAAATGAAACACAACCCTGAAGGTGCCTCCTACACAGCAGAAAAGAACTGAAAAAAAAAGTAATGGATATTTTACAGGTACAAGTATTATAAGGATTTCTATATTTCTTTTACTTCCCTGTGAGAGGAACTTTCTGTTCTGACAGTGACAACTTCTTTGACAGACAAGAATACTCTCACTCCTAAGGTACCAACTTAAACTGCCTCTTAGGAAGGCTCAAACACCGATGAGTACCACTTATTTGGGGAGTGCCAAACATGAAAACCCTTGTCAAAATCTTGACAAGCACCATAACCTCATACCTACTGGAAATCAGCCAGACAGATGAGAAGGAACCACTACATTTGCAAGAAACTTTATCCAGCAGTTCAAAGCCAGTACAAGAAACCTGTCAAGCCAGTCAGCCAGACATTTCAGAATCAGAAGAGTGACACAGCAGACATGACACACTGAGTAGCACAGCAAACACCAGCAGCTGAATGGCCAGGACCACCACCAGGGATCTGCAAGGGAAATATCATGTAGGTAACAATTCTTCCCCATAACCGCTCTGACTCTTCCCTGGGAATGACTAATTTTTAACTTGATGGGATCTAAAGAAATCCCATCAGAACAGAAAAAACTAGTTTTGCAAAGTTTAAAACCCATTCCAGCTTTAAGGAAAGGAAAGCAAGGAGAGGCATGGATAATACAACAAAAAATGGAGAACTCAGTTTTACCAGTCTCTATTCAAGAAGAATTAGCAACTTTGTAAGACACCGATCTCAGAGAACATGCCTGACCTTGAGTATTAGATCTATCACTAATACATGGCGATGCCACTAGACAACCTTTTTTTAATTAACCATACATGCCCAGAACATAGGAATACACCAATCATAAGCAGGAAAAAGGCCACACCAGGCCAGAGGATTTGGAACTGAAAAGATCCCTTTGAGACTGGATCTATGTTGTATGCAGATGTTGGAGCACCAATACATCTACCATTTAAGTGGCCTGTGAGTACCGAAGAGTGTGGAGAGATGTTCTCCTCTGCATTGCATCTGCTTACTGAACTGCTGGGCTTTAAAACAACATCTTTACTGTGCCTGCTCAGCCAGTCCCCTCCCCAAAACACCCCAGTAATTCCACTGAAGCACGTCCCCTCTCCTCTGCATACCCATAATGTTCTCTTGCCATTGACTTAGGGAATTTCTGTCTGATGCTTTTCATCACTGAAGTTCTTAACTCCTTTAATTTGGCAAATCTATGGCATTATGTGACAGGACTTCAAAGGTCAAAAAATTAATAAATTAATAAATTATCTGGATAATGCCTTTGATGTTTGAAAAAAAGCATTTTTTCTTCCTTGAGAATGACTATTGTGCTCTGCTTGGCTGCTAAGTGCATACAGTAACCATCAGGAACACTCGCTGGGAAAATTAGCAAGTGTCTCTCAAAAATGCAATGAAATTATCCCTTTCCTGCAAATAGGATTTTCTAAAAGCTGGTTATTTTGGCTGCTTCCAGCCTGCATGAACACTTCTCCAGCAGGAAGTGCAAGAATTTTTCTGTATCGGGTTCTCATCTGTTTCTCTGAAATTCCCCAATCAGTACTTAAGAATGAGGTAATTTTTTAATCAAAAGCCTATTCAGAGAGCTGTCTGCCCTCAGGTCCATCTCATTCATCTCTCTGGACATGGGTTTCAGTTTTTTCCTCCAAAGAGGTTAACAGATTGCTGTAATTGGATGGCCCCAAGAACAGTGCTTAAAGTACCAGAGCAGCTAGGAACAGAACTCAGTCCATGCTCTAAGCAATGAAAGTGTTCCCCCTTATTAAATATTGCTAACTATGTGTTCTAAGTACTTCAGGGAAACATATGATCCAAGGAGTTAATTCACTTGCATCTTGCTATGAAGAGGTCTTCCCTGGCATTCAGGTTGAAACTGTTCATATCCCAAGTGTAATAAGCAATAAAAATACTACTCTGACTAGTGGTTTCATCTTTTAAACACCTGTAGACTGTTATGATTCTGTAATTAACTTCCTCGCCTTACAGCCTTACTGGCAACTACTAGTGCCACAGAAGTACAGCTCCTCATGTCTTCTGCTTTATTTGCAAGCCTATAATCTCAATTATTTTCTAAAAGTACTTCCTGAAAATGCACAAAT